ATAACAGTGTTAAGTTTGATCATTAGAGTTCTGAATAAAAACAAGTTCATAAAAATGTGACATTATTGGTAGGGTGAATACTTTTGCAAGGCACTGTCTTCTCAAGATTCTGAATAACTGTATTCTGTTGTTTCATCCAAGTTTTCGAGCTGGCATTTTATTATATCTATTACTGTTGAAGGATGCTTTTTTTCCATATCAACATTATAAAATATTATAGTTTTTTTTTCGTATCATTTATGACTGGTAAGACGCAACTTCTTTCTGATTAAAACAAACACATCCAGAAATAGTATATAAATATTTATATGCATATTTTTGCAGAATAGTTTGCCTAGCCGAATGTCTCTTTTTATTCTATAGTCATTACATGAACTACCAGCAGTGTGTCCAAACTGTAGTAGAAGAGAAATGTACTGCAGATGATAAAGTCTTCATAGGAACTTACTTGGTTGATAAAGCTGATTCTCTTTCGTGGGTCTGTACTGATGATTTTTCAAGCGAATACATTTCCACTATCAGCCCAACTTCAGGACGAGGTAGAGTTGTTATCCATCGTTTTTACAGTAGTTACTTATTTGCTAGTTTTTTTAAATTTTATTTTTTGTATATATTATTGGCTTTTTTTTGCGAGTTGTCAAGTACACGTGAATAGAAATGAATTCGCCATTTTATTTTCCATATGAAAATACTTACTTTGTTCATTTCGAACCAGACTTGAGCCTTATGGTATTTGATCCAATCTTACCAAACGTTCGACTAGGTAGAATATTTATGACAAATTATGTGTTACGATATCACATATTTCGTGAAATATGTCGGATATTTTTTTAAGTCACACATTCTTGGTACTACACAGGTTCTTTCAAGGGTTATCGTTGCCTAACGAAACTGAAAAACAAACTGGATGAATGCACAAAAGAGTTCAAGCGGGTTGAAGAAACTAGTTTAGAAGACCGGGAAGATTTCGAACAAGAAGAGTCAAAGGAACCAAGCCGAAAAGAATATTGCTGGTGAATGGAATTAACTTTTTTTTATAAAGTTTACCCCCATGTCTAGTTTAAAAACAAATATGTTTGTTATTTGTGGATAAAGTTTTGCTTTGTGTTTCTGGCCCGGCATGGCCAGGTGGTTAGAGCGCTCGACTCGCACTCTGTGGGTCGCGAGTTCGAATCCCCGTCACACCAAACATGCTCGCCCTTTCAGCCGTGGGGACATTATAACGTTACGGTCAATCCCACTATTCGTTGGTAAGAGAGCCAAGAGTTGGCGGTGGGTGGTGCTTTCCCTCTAGTCTTACACTACTAAATTAGGGACGGCTAGCAGAGATAGCCCTCGTGTAGCTTTGCGCGAAATCCATAACAAACAAACAAGCTTTGTGTTTCCAACATTGTCTATCTTAAATATTTCTTCCAAGAGATGTCACTACTAGCACATTCTAGAATTTCGTATTGAGCAAAAGGATAACGTTTTTTAAGCCTTTCAACTATTCTCCCACATTTTTTTTGTTTCTTTTTTCATATGTTTACTATAAAACTGGTTCAGAAGGGACTTTAATTTAAACTAAAGTCACTGAGACTATCAGTATTGATGGTTTTGTAACCATGATATCTGTAACAAATTTCGGGGAATAACAATTTCGCCCCTTTCAACATATGATTGAAATTTAATATTCAGTTACTGTGAATATTTTTAACTGTTTTAAGCTTTCACTTAAGTCTTGACAGAATCATCGAGGAGGGGGATAGCTGAGGCAGTATCCCGGGGCCAGGGAACACGTAAGGGGTCCAGAGAAATCACAGGATCCTGCCAAAAATGAACTAAATTAGGCCTGGTAGCGTATATATATATATATATATATTGTGATTACTGTTGGTGGATATTTATAGGTATAGGTAAGCAGG